TTTTTTTTTTTGGCTGGTCCTACCAAAATACTACAACAGATTCAGTCCGAATATCGTCACCTCATACGCACAAGCTACTCATTACACCAGGCGGCACTAAATATTGGATACCACAATGTGATGATTCACTTAGGCCCTTCAAGGGACAAATTTTTCAAGGGCTCGATGAGGCAGTTGTTTTCTACACTTCGTATGCTTCTACGGTTGGGTTTGATGTTAGACACAGCACCCTTATTAAAGCGGCTGATAAGACGGTCGTTTGGAAATATTTAGTATGTTCAAGAGAGGGCTACAAGCACCACGCGGAAACGGTCCAATCAATGCACCCACGAAGGCGCAGGGTATCAAACCGAGTGGGGTGTAATGCCCGGATCATGCTTCGAGTCAATGGATTAAACAGCTATATTGTTCGTTTTTTTGAAGAAAAGCACAACCATCCGATGACGCCTGATGAGTATAGAGCACGACTAAAGATCAACCGGACAATGACAGCCGCACATCAAACGTTTGTCCTCAACTGTATAAAGGCCAACATAGGCCCTATCAAGCCGTACAAATTGTACAAAGAGATGGTGGGAAGTTACTCTAATATCGGCGCCACCGACACGGAGTTCAGGAACTTCAAGCGAGAGCTCATGGGGTACATTTTAGGTGCTGATGCTCAGTTGATTATTGATAAGTTTTATAAGCATCAGGAGAATAGCCCTGCCTTTTATTTTCGTCATGAGCTCGACGAACATGACCGCCTAAACAGGCTTTTTTGGGTTGATACGATATCAAGACGTAACTTTGGGTCTTTCGGGGACGTTGTATCATTTGATGCCACGTATAACACAAACAGGTACAATAATTAAATATCAATTACGTAGTTATCTTGTTCTTGCACCACAAGGTTGTTAATACAGCATGATACATCATAAGTTTTTGCACGTTATATAACCAGCATGTGCACTAATAGACCATATTTTGTTGCTTGTAGATACAATATGGTGTTTGCGCCTTTTACCGGCATAGACAACCACGGGAAGTGTGTAACGTTTGCAGCCGCCTTGATAGCAAAGGAAGACGTCGATTCTTACGTATGGGTGTTAGAAAACTTCAAGAGTTCAATGGTTCATGAGCTGAACTACATAATCACAGACCAAGACCCCTCGATTGGGATTGCTTTCCCCAAGGTATTCGCTGTTAGCAAGCACCGCTTCTGCATGTGGCACATCATGAATAAACTAGGTGAGAAAGTCGGTTATGCTCTGAATAGTGACCCGAATTTCAAAAAGAGACTTAATGAAATTGTCTGGAATAGGAACATTGATCCAGTTGAGTTAAAGACTAAATGGGCTTCTATTATGCATGAATATGGTCTGGACACACATAATTGGTTCAACGATTTATTCGCTAAGAGAGAGTATTGGATACCGGCATATTTTAGAGATGTTGGGATGAGTGGTCTAATGAGAACTACATCTAGATCGGAAAGTGAGAACAATTGGTTTAGCAGTTTTACTAACAATCAGTCAAGTTTGGTCGAGTTTTTTTTACATTATGATAGTGCGATGGATACACAACGCAACACGGCAATGAAGTTACAAACTGATACTGAAACACACATGGCTGACTTAAAAACACCATTGCCGGTTGAAAAGCATGCTTTTTCTGTGTACACCACCTCAATCTTCTACCGCGTGCAGGCTGAAATATGTGAGGCGTGTTTCAGATGTCGGGTGATTCAATGTTCTGAAAATAACAGTGAAATCACATTGTGATAAGAGATTCAGATGGGAAATCATTTACCGTGATGCACAATGTCAGTCTAGAAAAATCTCGATGCTCTTGCAAACACTCTGAAATGTATGGGTGGCCGTGTAAACATATCTTCGTTGTGTTCAAAGACCTGAACATTGAGGTTATACCTCCTGCTCACATTAGCTTAAGGTGGACGAAATTTGCATTTAGCAAACCTCTGTTCCATGTCGTTGACAACATTTCAGAAGAATGCGCCAAAATAAATGATAAAAAAATCCTGCTGAATAAGATATGGTCGGATGTACATATTTGTGTGGGGTTGATCGAGACTCAAATGGACCAGCTGGTCGAGTTTTCTAGACTCATCGAAGAGCATAAGCGAACCCTCATGGTCGAACAAGGGGGTGGTGTTTCAGCCTTTGTTGAAAGGGAAGAGAGATTTGAATCTTTTGTCGGGATCTCTGTCCCACAAGATATACGCATCCAACCTCCAACACAATCGAAAAACAAAGGGAGCGGAAAAAGGATGAAGAGCATGAAGGAGAAGTCAATTGAAAAGTCGCAAAAGAAAAGGAGGCTATGTAAGACGTGTGGTGAGAGGGTAGGACATAATGCACGAACCTGCCCAAAAAAACAATAGACATACATCAGACCATCATTCACACAGGTATGTAAAATCTTATATTTATACTGATGGTTTAGTTATTCGATTATTTTTTTATTTTTTCCTGCATCAACTATGACACTCCTGGAATGTTGTTATAGGTTGAGGTGNNNTTTTTTGCTACAACCAGAAAATTAAATTAATGTCGTGTAATATGATCGTGTGATTCGTATACATTATTTGCACGCAATCATCATTTAGTACTATATAAGTATCATTAATGATGTTTACTAATTACGACTTTACGCGTGCAGGCACCATCGGAAAATGCCGATATGCTATGATGTTTTACCACCTTTGGATGCAGTTACACGAGAACCAACTGCATTCAGTTACATCTATTTGGGTATTTGAAAAAAAAAATTTAGATCATTGCAAGTGATTACAAGCTGCGCTAAGCTACATTAATGTTTTCATTCCACTACGATCAGACAGACGAGATATGATATTATGCTATGTTTTTTACTTTTTTTTTTTGTTGGTTCGAGTATCAACATTTTGGGGCAAACAATTAAGACAGGCTGTTGATGCTTTTATGATATGTACGTAATACCAGAATATGGGTTTAGAAGTTCAACAAAAATATCATGTCTAAATCACACAGAATATCACACGCACGTTATTGCATTATTTTTATCACATTATACTTAGCACATTGGCACATTAACCATAGTTGACATGCACACACATGATGTATTTATTAATCATGAAATAATTAAGTATTGAAAATTCGTTATTACTTGATCAAGTAACGTGAAATAATAGCAAAATAAACAATATGTAAAGTCGCAGTCACATATAATTGCACAGTAGGTGCACAACATTATACACCATATTGCACAAAACAGTGTTGAACTATGCACAACATGTACCATCATTATGCACCATTATCTTGTTTTAATATCGATGATTATTATGTTAATAGACAAAATGAAATTAGATATTATACCGAACAATATATTAATAAATAAACAACTACATAAATAAAATAAATAAAAAAAACAAATACACGAGCATATAAATTGATGACATGAACAAACGCGACCAGCCACACCAACTAAGTTGCACGATAATATGTACGGGACTGCACGATAACCGTGTAGAAATACGACTGATACCACATAAATGATTGGACATCCAAAAGTTCAGTCGTACAACAACCTGACATTCAAAACACGACGATCAAGTTCATCGAAAGAAATCGACAATCAGTAATGACATAGTGCAAAATGTAATCACCACCCACATTTGATTAGTCTTACGCAAAACTAACAAACTACGTATTGACGTTCGGACAAATGAGCAATTCCCAAAACACACTTTGTTTCATGCGGCTGATTTCTTCTTGTTTGAAAGTTACACCTGGTGAATACTCTTTGCTGCTACTAGATTATCCTCCTTCAAATCGTTGTTTGGGGCAAATGCTATAACGTACGCGTAGCGCTTCCTGATAAGATTGATCTGGCCTTTGTCCGCCCTCCACAGCTCAGGATTCCATGTTTTTAAGACCCCACCCTTATAAGTCTCCATGTGACGCATTGTGATCACTCTGATGTCTGACTGGTTGACGCCCTCAGTCCATGCTGTGTCGAACACATCAGGAACAGCCAGTGCAATTGATTTGGAACTTTTCCAACAGTTCCTTTCGCCTAGAAACTTTGAGATCGACCTTTGCTGCAATAAATGTGATAGTAACTTTCAAAATAACTGCATACAGTCAATTGTAACTATAAGAAACATATTTGAATATTTATATAATTACCAACAACTCAGATCGTGGCACCATCGATCTCATAAGAGCCCCATCTCTGCAAGTTCCAGAACTGTCTATAATTCTCAACTTTTGGGATTCTGGAACAACGCATATTAAGCCG